GTTCATTGTTTACTAAAATCAAAAAAACAAATAGTCGTTTTTTTCTATCGTATATCTTGTCATAGAATAAATAGTCCTTATGCTGATCAGTTTATCTTTAATTTTCATTGTAAAATATTGGATTCATAAATTATACTTATTTCTAATGTTTAATAATGAATTAATATTGATCTTAGAAGTTGAAATTAATATTAAAAGACAAAGATGTATTTGGATTAAACAAAAAATTACGAAGTTCGTAGATAAAAATTTTTCCGAATTGAATCAATTGATTATTCTAAACAAATTGTTTACATATAATCTGGATATAGAACTGAGTAAAGTTTCGATAGTAAGGTACTTCAGACTATTTAGTTGTGTTGTTATTATGAAAAACAATGTATTGTTTCCCTGTATTCTTTACCTGAAGAGTTTCTAATCTTTACAAAACTATAACAATTTTAAAAAGTATAAGAATCATTTATTTCATATTAGACTATATCATGCGTGCAACTGATAGAGTTTTTTCCGACTGGTCCGTTTAATATATCAATTAATGAACTAGTTCTTTCGAGAAATAGACTACAGTTTCACAAAGACATACAATATGAAATTCAGAGAATTCTTGAAGTTTTTAATAGAATCCACTTCCATTTCACTCTGACACGCTTCATATATACTAATCTGGAAACGAAAGAAGAACTCTTTTGAAACTTTTGATCTAATAATTCACATCAATTGATATTGAACAATATCTAAGGTTTTGTTCTGCTCGGTTTTCTTTAATAAAAATATGATATCTGTTCAGAAATTAATAGATTTTATGTTTTATTATTTGAAATTATTATTTAATACGACTGAAAATCTTCTCAATTTGTATAAAATTAATAATATCGGTTGGAAGAGAAAATAAGCTAGAAATTTCAGTTTTTATGCTAAACATATTCTGGTAATGAAAACATGAACAGACAACTATTACCTATTGAGAGTTTCTGACGGTCGGTTAAAAATAGTCGGGAAACGTGAGCTTGAAATTTTGATGTGGAAAATCTTTAGTTCAAACTACATTTAACTTTTGATTGCTTACTAATTTTTCGTGATCATAATAAATTTATTCAACATGATTTGAAGTCTTCATCATATGATAAGAAAGTATGAGCTCAATATTTAGAGCTGGGATTACGATGTCAATTAGAAATTTGTAGGTTGAAAACTTTCGCGTTCATACAACATGAAATCACATTTTGATCAGTAATAAAGAAGAATATTATCATAATCGTCTGTCATTTCAATAGATTTATCATATTTAATGCATGTAGAAAATAGGAAAGTTCAAAATTCGGATAAGTATATAAATAAACACTTTTCAGACTATTTTTATTTCGAATATTTTTAACAGTAAAAATTTTTCTGAAGCCTTAATAATCATTACAAAAATACTTCACTCAATAAAATAAAGTGAGTGATAATATTACAAAAGAGAAGAATTTTGTTTGAATCACAACACTTTGTGTAGATAAAATAAAAGACATCACTAATAAACATAATGGTATAATTAGTTCACTTTACTGCTGTATCGTCTTTTTTTTAGTTTTTTTTATCACAACATATACCAAGTGTGACAAAAGTTTTGTTATATTTTTGTTTTGCATGTAATTCTATTCAGGGACATGATAAAACGTTGATTGTTTTTTCAAAAAATGCGTCGATTTTAGTAATTATGTTTGAAATCAATCAGAGACCGAGTACAGCCTTCAAAGCATGAGGATTATTACTCATCCTAATCTCAAATACAAATGGAAAATGATGTCTGTCTCAATTGACTTGGATATTTCGTCCTGAAATAAAACATTTTTTTTGCTGTGTTGTTTTCACATACATCGTCGAAATATTAGTGAGCTCAATAGACAAATCGCTAGATTAAACTTAACAAAATAATACGTCTTAGTTGTCAATCACAAAATGGACGTTTTCGATTTTTCCTTGTGGGAAATAATACGATGCCACACACATGTTCAGTGTTAGTGATCTATTAAAATTTCAAAAATAACTATAAAAATTTGATCTTGTAATCCGATTAGCACTTTCAATGGCGCATCTTTTGAAAAAGAAAACATTAACATTTTATCATGTTTCTGAACAGAGTTACATGCGAAACAAAAAAAAATACCGCAATATTTTTGCTACACCTGATATATAAACTTATAAAAATTTTTATACTTAAATGAGATTCTTTTCGCCAATAAAATAAAATTTAAATGTGATGAAACCTCAGAGTTCTAATTCGAATGAAGATAAGACTCAAGCCTCATCCAGCCTACAATCAATAGATAAGAAAACGGTAAACCGTAGATGAAGATCAAAATGAATTCGTTTGATATGATTAATAAACTCAAAAAATCTTATCATTACTATCTATATGAATTATTATTGGACATTTCAATATATTCTTGTTCTATTCTTAAATATTATACTTATACATGAGAAATTCCGCCATCTATGTTATAGTTAAAGGCCTCATTCAAATTCAATGCATGATAAATAGCTAATCATATTTTTTGAATATATATTAAGAAAGAAAAGAAGAACACCCATTGAGTCTTATATTCTTTACATATTATCTTCATTTTTCTCTCTATTCCGCTCTTTTTTTTTAAAGCACAAAATTTTTCGTTGTCTGTGCCCTTTGAAGGTCAAGTGTCTTCATATGTTTCGTCTAATAATACCTTTATTATAACAAGCAATCATTAGAAATCATTTTATTGATAAATACTAAATGATTTTCTTAAGTAAAAAAAAAGAAAATTTATTAAGAGATCGTAAGGTTTCCAAGAAACATATACTAAGATTAAAATTGAATTAAATTAAAAGAAACCGAAACTATCAAAAGTAAACAAAAGAAAAATCTACATGTATAAACATTGTTTACTCATCAAACGACGTCGTTTTTTTTTGTGTCAATATTAGTTGTTTTGACGAATCCATCATGTCTTTCTATTAAATTCAAACATTTACTTTAATACATTTGTCTTTGTGTTTTTTTGTTCTTGTACTTGAAAATAAAAATTATTTTAAAAAAAATATTTTCTTCTATAGAGAAAAGAAAATGAAAATGCCTATTATGATAATGTAAAAGAATAGTGTGTTACATAATTTATTTTTTTAAATTTCTTAGATTGATCATGCCTTCATCATCGATGAATAAAAATGAAACTAATGAACAAAAACAATCTCTATTAAAAAATGATGATAAACAAAATAAAACTGATACTGGTGCAAATATTATTCTTATTGGAGCACCTGGCAGTGGTAGATGTTCTTATTCTTATTTTTTGTTTTTTATTCTATTGAAAATAAAATCTACAAATTTAGATTGAATATTCTTTTTTATTTATAGGTAAAGGTACACAAAGTACTCGATTAGTAGAACGTTATCAAATATGTCAAATATCCACAGGTGATTTACTTCGTCAAGCTACTCAAGATAAAACATCATTAGAAGGTGAAAAAATTCGACGAGTAATGGAAACAGGAGGTCTTGTTGATGATGAAACAGTTATGTCATTAATTGATAAAAGTATAAATAAACCTGAATGTCGTAATGGATTTTTATTTGATGGTTTCCCTCGTACGATTTATCAAGGTGAACAGTTAGAACAATTACTTGAATCAAGACAAAAGCGACTTGATGCAGTTTTAGAATACGCTGTATGTAATCAAATAAAGAAAAAAAACCAACAAATTTTAAATATTGAGTACAACCTCTATATTATATTACCAATGATAAAATGCTTGCGAATCGTATTTTTCATGGATACGTCCATGAGTAGTCAACCGTAAAAAATACAAGGTTCTCAGAAGGTTTTTCTTTTTGTCTATAGAGGTCGTTGCACTGATTTTATTTCATGAAAATGATCAGCGCAACGAGCTCTACAAAGTTTTGCAGACGAAAAAAAGTTTCCGGAGAACCGTCTGGTTTTTTTGGTTGACCACCTATTGAAGTGTCTATGAAAAATACGATTCGTAAACATTTTATTATTGATAGATAGATTGTTTCTCATGGACGAATTTTATTTATGTCTTTGTTTTGATTATTGAAGAATTCATTCGCAAATATTTTATAACTAATCATCTACTAATGATTTGTTTAATCAATTAGAATCCTTTATTCTACAGTAGCTAACTTGAAAAATAACAAGTATTTACTATAGTGCAATACATGATTTCTTTTTTTTATCATTTGAATGAGTAAAAATCAAACTAATAAACATTAATATTCAACTCAGGTGCATGTATTCCCTTGACTACAATTAGAATCGTTATCGTTGAAATTTTTTCTTCGAAATATTTGTTATCATCATGGTTGATTCTGAAGTGTATCTATATACGTCATTGTTTAATTTAATCAATTTTAAAAAATTTTAATATAGGCGAATCTATTTACAAAATATCCCAAAACTCCAAGGACACACTAAAATAGAGAGCAACAAGTAAATACTTTTATTCTGAGAAAGAATGATATCGACATGCTATTACTATGTGTATATGTAGCTATTGACATATTAATCAGTATCCTTATCTTATTCTTACATCATTTGGTATCTTAACAAAAAAAATATATATATACACACCTGTGAAAATAGAAAACTTTCTGACACGTCATTGTAAAATAATACTGTTAAAAGAAAATTTTATAATTGATAATAATCCTCTTTGAGATTTAACTGAAATTAATTTACTTAAAAATTTAAAGATATAAAATAATATCTAAGAATAGTATTTTTCTTTATTCATGTTATTTCGTAACTAAATATTTCCTTAAGATAAATGATGATTGCTTCTAAATCATTTTAAATTAAAAATATTGATAATAAATAATCTTCGAATAATGACATTTACGTAAAAACCAAAGTGATATTGAAAGAGATTCCTTACTATTCTATTACTTAAAGCCTTAAACTTTGTTAAGAACAATAGTATCATTAGAAAAAACACGCTGGATGACAATTCGGTAGCAGAAAAAAAAAATAAAAGTTATGCTCTCCGAAAAAGTTTAATAATATTCCATTGAACTTATATACACCAAGAACAATGGTAAAATTGTATTTAAAGAAAAAACCACACTAATTCGACAGGCAATTTTATTTCTATTTACGTCATACAGATGATATTCTCCAGATGCGCACATTTTCATCTTACTATTGGGATCCGTGAATATAATAATATATTATTAAATTGTTTCGAATACCATAACTTATATTAGTTTGTGTGTTCCTCAAATGTCATTCCATGTGTTCTTTTTCATGGTGACCATTTATCTTTAAGAAATATTTAACTACAAAATAGTATATGAACAAGAAAAATATTCTAGACATTATTCTATATTTTCAAATGTTTAATTAAATTAATTTCAGTTGAATCTTTAAGAGGATTAACAATTTAAAGCTCAGTTATAATTATCATCAAATATAAAAGTTAAAGATTTCATTTAAACAGTAATATCTTATAACGACATGCCAAAAACTTTCCAATTTTCTCAAGTGTATCTTTTTTTGTTAAGATATCGAATGACGTAAGAAGAAGACAAGAATGTTAATTAACGTATTAATAGTTACGTATATACATCGTAATAGTATGGTACCATCATTTTTTCTCGGAATAAAAGCATTCATTGGTTGCTATTTATTTTGACCTATCCTGTTGTTTTGGGACAGTCTGTATGTATCCATTAAATCATGTCATCATATGAATAAAACTCAAGTCATATATCAGTTATTAATTAAATTTAGATTGAAGATGATCATTTAAAACGACGTATTCTTGGTCGACTGATTCATAAATCATCAGGTCGAACATATCATGAAGAATTTAATCCACCTAAACAACCCATGAAAGATGATATTACAGGTGAAAAACTTGAACGTCGTTCTGATGATACTAATGAAACACTCAGCGCTAGATTAACTACTTATCATAAACAAACAAAACCATTAGTAAACAAAAAAAACTTTTTTTTTCAAATCATATTATTTCTTATATTTTATTTTAAAAGATTGATTTTTATCGTCAACGAAATATTCATCGTTCAATAGATGCAACACAAAGTGTAAATGATGTATCTAAACAATCAATTGAAATAGTTGATTATTTACGTAAACAAACAACATATAAACCATCAACAAGCGCTATTCGACAAACCGAAACTGATGATACATTAACAATTAAATCTAAATCAATAATAAATCAACGTGATGTTGATACAAGTCATTTAAGTAATAATTTTCTATTTATATACAATGCGGTGATATCGGTATTACGTGATCGTGGTATTATTTAAAAAAAACGAACAAACATTAATTTATTTAGAAAACTCAGGATAACAAAAAAAAAAAAGAAATTTTTTTATTCAAGACGAATACACTAGATTTTCGTTTTATTATAAGACTTTTTTGTTTTCTTATAAACACTGTCGAGTAAAATCTTTCTTTTTTAGATCTGAATTTGTGAAGATTTGATTTGATTTTTACATTTTTCTATTTCTGGTGATGTTTTCTTTTTTTTTTGATGAAATACAAAAAAATCAAACCTTCGAGATTCTTTTTTGTTTGATAAACTAATGATAAAACAAATAAGAGATTGTCACTTTATTGTCAATTTTTTTTTCCATTGCAGATGTTTATCGGTATCCAGCTTTTATTACTATTTACAAGTATAACAACAAATCCCATGAGGTAATAAAAGGAAATTAATAAAAAACATAATGTATATTGACTTTATTTAGGTCAACAAAATGTTTATTTTCATCTAAACAAACTCTATTCAATTTTACTGATTCAACTTCATCAGTTAATGATTGGATTGAAATATCGGATACTGAACGTGATGTTGGAAAATCGAAAGGAGTATTTGTTGAACAAAAAACACAACAATTTCAACGAGCTATTTTTTTTTCATTACTTAATCCACAACCAAATGGTGCTGGATTTGTTGGTATTGCTAATCGTAAGAAATCATTTGATTTAAGTTCATTTACGGGTCTTCAATTATCTGTACGAGCACAAGGTGAAAATTTTATCTATAAAGTTATTTTAAGACATCATAATGAAGAATCATCTTTACAACCATCCTATGAAATCTTTTTTGAAGTAACAAAAAAAAAAAACAACAGAAATAATTAGATTAATATATTAAATTTTTCTTTTTAGTTACCTAAAAATGAACTAACTGAACAATATTTACCATTTAATGATTTTAAACCATATAGTCGTGGTAAATCATTAGATCCAAATACAACACCACCATTAGATCGAACAGATATAACAAGTATTGGTTTACAAATCGTTGGTGGTGTTTATTTGCCTATTAAACAACATGGTACATCTAGTTTAGAAATTGATTCAATTATTGCTGTGAAATGTGAATGAAAATCTTTGTTGTTATTGTTCTTTTTCTTCTATACAACATAGAGATCTTTTAGAATAAGAATTAAAGTCAATTTTGTTTTTTTTTAATAAAATTTTTGATCTATTATTAGTTTTTTGTATTGTATCGTTGATTAATAATATTTTCTATTGTATCTATTCTAGTCTTTTTTGTTTCATTTCAATAACGTCCTTATACGCTTACTACCATGTCGCATTAGAAAAATAAATATCAATGGATTCTTTCAGAGGATCAACAAGAAAAAAAAAGCATAAGATTATTCCAGTGTTTTTTTTTGTCCTTATTCACAAATGAAAAATTCACAAACGAAATACTTTTTCTTTTAGATTACATCGTAAAAATAATTGATTTCTTATGTGTTTATTATATGCATATTTTCATTTAGATCGAATATCATTTTTTAGCTCTTATCATAGAGCTTAAAACAAATGAAGTAACAAACGAAACAAAAAAAAAAAAAGGAAAAAGAAACGAATCGGATCAAATATAAACAATAAATGTGCATACACTTGTTATAGTTATTTATTCTAGTGAGTATATGAAAAAGAATTATTGGTTTTTTTCTTGCTTTATTATTTTTGAATAGAAAATCTATAAAGACATTGTCATCGAAAGTATTCGCAAATAGTTATTGATTAATCACACAGCAGGAGAATAAAGGGAAAAAAAGAAAGAAAAGACCCGACGTTTTTTTAGCATTGTCAACGTGTCATTGTTATTTTTTTTCATGTCTATATCCGTATCTCGTGACGAATAGAATAAAACTATTTAACTATTTGTAATAAAGATTAAATAGTTGAGTTTGAATATTTATTTGTTAACATTGTTTTTTTCAGTTTAATTTTTATTTTAAATAAGAAAAGAAAATGTCAACAGCATTAGATGATCAGCAACCACCTAATCATTTAAATGGTTTCGATATAACAGCATTAGTTATTTATTTTATATTATTAGTTGGCGCTGGATTTTATTCGATGTTTAAATATAATCGTTCAACAGTTAAAGGATATTTTTTAGCTAATAGACAAATGCCATGGTTTTGTATAGGTGCAAGTTTATTTGCATCGAATATTGGTGCAGAGCATTTTATTGGCTTAGCAAGTTCCGGTGCTGCTAAAGGTACCAAAAAAAGATTTGAAAATAAAATGAATTCTCTTTATACATATTCTATATATTTTTAGGTATAAGTGTTGGAGCATTTGAATTAAATTCTATAGCAATTATGCAATTACTTGGTTGGATATTTTTACCAGTTTTTATAGCTACTGGTGTATCAACATTACCTGAATATATGAGTCGAAGATTTGGTGGACAACGTATACGTATTTATATAGCTTGTCTTTATCTTCTTCTATATATATTAACAAAAATAAGTGTAAATATTTATGCAGCATCATTATTTATTAATTATGCTTTTCATTGGGATATATATTTAAGTGTTGTATTTGTTCTTATTTTAACTGCACTATGTACTGTATCAGGTGGTTTAGCAAGTGTTATGTATACAGATACAATACAAGCTATTATAATGATTTTTGGAGGATTTGTTTTAATGATCTTATCATACAAAGAAATAGGTGGTATATCGAATCTTTATCGACGATATTTGAATGCAATGCCAACGGTACAAGATGATGGACAATATGGAAATATAACAAATATATGGTTAAATCAAACGAATTTAACAACATCAACATGTGGTAAACCAACAATGAAATCATTTCAAATGTTGAGATCAATAACTGATTCAGATATGCCTTGGTTAGGATTTTTTCTTGGACATACTCCAAATACAATTTGGTAAATGTTTTATTCTTTTTATTTTTGTTTTATTTTAAAGCAAGTTTAATTATATATTCGAATGGACAATAGAGAATTTTCTATTTTTGATATCTTAAATTCTTTTAATATTGGTTTGTATAGAAAATCAAATCTATATTTTAAGAATAATATGACGGTAACAACAAAAAAAAAGACAAATTTTTGTGCTTGTATATCTATCAAATTATTAAACGAGCTTAGTCATTTGTTCATTAAAGAGAAAATAAGATCATGAATGAATTAAAATTCTCATATTTTGAATTCATATTGAAACCTTATAAATTCTTCACATGTTGAAATTTGAATAATATTAATAAATAAAAAGAAAAACAAAAAAAAGAATCAATTGAATTATTTTTCATTAGGTATTGGTGTTCTGATCAAATGATGGTTCAACGCGTATTAGCTGCACAAACTATTTCACATGCACGTGGTGGAACTTTATTAGCTGGTTATTTAAAAATTTTACCATTATTTATGATAATTATACCCGGTATGATAAGTCGAGCATTATATCCAAATACTGTTGCATGTAATCAACCATCCGTTTGTGAATCAATATGTCATAGTAAACGAAGTTGTACTAATATAGCATATCCAACATTAATATTAAAAATTTTACCAAATGGTTTTAAAGGTATTATGCTTGCTGTTATGCTTGCTGCATTAATATCAGGTTTAACATCAATATTTAATTCAGCAAGTACAATATTTACTGTTGATATTTATCCTAATATATTATCTTATCGTCGAAAGAAAATAGCAAATCGTGAATTAATGATTGTTGGCCGTTTATTTGTTATTCTTATGACAATGTTTGGTATTGCATGGATACCAATTGTTATACAAATGCAAGGTTCAGAATTATATATTTATATGCAACAAGTTATAGGATTTTTAGCACCACCAATAGCATGTATTTATTTATTATCAGTTTTATGGACACGTGCCAATGAACGTGGTGCATTTGCTGGATTAATGATAGGTTTTATATTTGGTTTAATAAGAATGATACTTGAATTTTCACAACGGCCACCATTATGTGGAGAACAAGATACAAGATTTTGGTTAATAAGAAAAGTTCATTTTATGTATTATGCTTTATTTTTATTTTGGTTAACATTTTTCACTTGTGTTATTGTTTCATTATATACGGAGCCACCAACAAAAGAACAATTATATCGAACAACATTTTGGACAAGAAATCAAAAATCAGATGTAGAACATATCAAAATGAAACAAAAAATTAATAGTGGGGCTTCAGTTGTTAGGTAAAGAATATTTGAAATATATTTTATATTTATCAATAGATAGAAGAACATTTTTGAAATACACAGAAACAGCAACAATAAAAAAAAAAAATTTCTATTAAATCCAATATAATTTAAGAAGTTTTGACCTATTGTTTTCTGACTATGTTATGAAATTATCTTATGAGGAAACCTTCCCGTCTTGAAAATTACTTTTGAACTCGAACTCTGTACATAAGGTAAACTCGAGTGAAGTATTTAAAAATTTTAGCCTACAGTACGGTATGTACATAAGAATCAAATGGCGATGTTTTGATCTGAAATTTTGCCTATAGATAAATATTCATGTAACTAGAATGTTCTCCTCACGAGATATGGAATTCTCAAACATTACTCATTTTATTTTTTGCAAATTCAATATTTCGTGAAAGAAACATTCTTTTGAGCTGAAATTTTCAGAACATTCTAATTACAAGTTGATATATCTATGAAGAAAATTTCAGTGAAACGGCTATAACTCTGTAGAAAAAGTCTAGGTGTCCTTATCCTTTTGGTGATTTTTAATATTGCATTGGAGTCTATCTTATACACAAAGCCTGAACTCAAAAGCGATTTTCAAATTGAGAAGATCCTCTTATTAATCGCTATTTCAATGACGAAGTATTTTGTTAATGTATTAAACTTATTAAATGTCGAGTTATTTTTTCCTTAATACATTTCATTGTCTATTTTAGTCCATCACTTCCACGTACTGAAATACCTGCATCATTTCCAATGACTCCTACTAATATAAATAATACAGTTGAACAATTACAACCTGAAATATTTCTTCCATCATCATCATTTGGTCCTGGAACATTACTTATTAGTCGTGATGGTGAAGATGATGTTAGTAGTGTTCGTATAAATACAGCACAAACAAGTATAGCTGATTTAGAAAATCTCAATATAAAGAAAAAACTTCCAATTTTCTCAAAATCAAAAATTTCAAGTGATTCCAATAATCAGGATAATGTAAAAAATGGTTGTCATATATTAGTCCTTTTAAAATCATGTTGGTCATGGTTTTGTGGTTTAGATGATAGTAATGATGTTGATAATGAAGATGAATTATCAACAATTAATGTATCTTATCATTCTCTACAACGAAAAATAGAAAATGGTAAAATCAATGAAGGACATGATTCTATATCACAACATATTAGAGAACGGTCCATTATAAAATGGATATTAAATGGAAATTTAGTATGTCTTATTCTTGTAGAAATAACATTATTTACTATTTTTTCATTGCCTGTTAAGTATACATTTTTGCGTGATTAGTTGAATTTTTTTCTTTCTTTTAATACTCAGATATCTCTACATGTTACATGAATGTCTAGTTCAATATTGTGTCTCATTAATCTTTTCGTTTTTTCTTTTTTTTTTTTTTTTTGTTGTTGAATATTGTGCACTTATTAATCTCTTTTTATTGTTGTAACATGAATTATTATTTTACGTTTTATTCTGTTGAAGATAAAGTGAAGTTTAAATATAATAAGTGACTTAGAATATGGTGGATTTTTTTAATCGAATTGAATTTGCAAATAAAAATATTTGTTTTTCATTCAGAGGTGTAACTTAGTGATGAAGGTAAGAAGGGATGATTGTGTGCGACAGAATTTCAGAAGCAGTGAACCGTCACGCGTCTCATTTTCACTTCTCATTAAAAGAAAAATTATATATACAAATAATGTATTTAACGAAAATTTTTTTTTAACGACATCTATTGAGCGTTTATTCTATTGATACAATATGTTCGACCATTCCCATCAACACCTTTGTCCCGTCGTAATTTGTTTGTTTCGATAGATTCTTTGTGCTTTTTATTTAAAACGATTTTCGTTATATTCAACGTTATGTAACATCATCGTTTTACTTTTTTTTTTTTTTTTTTAGAGTTTTAACATGATTTTTAATAAAATATATTTCTTTTCACTTGTAATTCTTATTCTACCTAATCTAATCGTAAGTGAACCACTTGAATTAACTGATAAAACATGGAAAGATATGTTATGTGGTCAATGGATGGTTGAATTGTAAGTTAAATTTTATTATTCAACAATATGATCTATTTTCAATAATTACTTATAGTTATGCACCATGGTGTCCATCATGTCAATATTTCAAACCTATATGGCATGATTTTTCTAAAGCTATGATATCGAAAGAAATCAAAGTAGCTGCTATTGATATTAATGAATATCCTTCATTATCAGGTCGTTTTCGAATTTCTGTCTTGCCAACAATTTATTAGTAAGTTAATTTAATGATTAATACAATAATAGTTATACAATAGTGAACAAAAAAGTGTTCATCTAAAATGTAGATCAACTATCTCTAGATGTTTCTGAGTTCATCTACACGAACACGATCATCATCGGCATACTATTTTCTTTTAGCATAAGATTCTTTTCTGAAACTTAACGTTTAACTATTGATAAAGGTTAATTTCAGATTTACGAAGTTCAAAAGAACAATAAGTGACATTCATCACAATTTTCTTTTTTATGTAAGCAATCAAGATATGATTGTGCTTCTAACCTACACTCTTGGTGATGTATATGCACAGAAATTTTTCGACTTCAAGCACATATATTAGCTAAAATATGATGGCATGAAGGCTTTTGTTTACTACTGTAAATATAAAAATTCGCATCTACTGGTTATCGAAAAAAAGATAAACATACATCAAATAGAATGATCATGTTGAAAAGTTTTATATATTTTAATAAATTTCTTTTTTGTTTTTATTATAATCTAGTGTTCGTGATGGTGTTTTTCGTCAATATAATGGTGAACGTTCATTAGATCGTTTGAAAAATTATATTGAATTTCAAGAATGGCAACGTACAGAACCAGTTTCATCATATTTTGCTCCAGATAGTTTTTCGTATGTTAATATAAATCATTCATATTAATTTTCTATTTATTATGTTTTGTTTTTTAAGAATGTCACTAATCAGTTCAATTTTCGATATATCAGTATTAGTTAAAGTTTGTAGAATTCTTTTTTTGTTTTTGTTATTTTATTAATATAAAACTTAATATAGGATGCATATACATTTTTACAAGATCGATATGGATGGCCAGCATGGCTTATTTATGTATTTTTTACTGTAGCTGTTATTCTTATTGGACTTATTCTTGGATTTGTATTAGAAACTTTTGTGTTTTTGATTAATTAAATATTAAATTTTTGTTGTTTTTCCTTTGAAGGGTGTTCTTATGATTATTGATTATTGTGTAACTGGTACAGTTAAAGATGATGTAAATATTATACTAGATGATTCAAAAGATGTTGAAGATTTAGTATGTATAAATAATTAAATAAAATATATAAAAGAAATTTTTGTTTTAGGATGATAGTGATTCACAAAAATTATTAAAACCTAGAAAACAAAAAAAAACAACTGTATCATTACCAACACGTATTACATCATCAACACCACAACGTACAACAACAATAAAAAATCGTTCATCACCTGTTATAGAAATTCAAGATGATGAAGCATTACTTAATGAAGTTCTTGCAGCTGATCAAGATGATAATGATGATAGTGAAGGATTAAATGCATCTGATATACCACCAGGAACTGATGATGAAGATCAAACTACAACAACAAATGTATCTATGCGTCAACGACGAATAAATAAATGAAAATTCTTTTCGTTAATCCGTCTCAGAAATAATACTTCTGTGATAATATTAAAAAAAAAATGTTTATTCGTACTTGATAATCTTTTTCTATGAACTGAAAGAATAATTTAAATGTTTTTTTTGTCTGTATCTTCTGTATATGAAAATATTGACTTGAATTGTGTAGTTGTTCTTCGGTGAATACTATGCTCTCTCTCTCTCTCTCTCTCTCTCTCTCTCTCTCTTTTTTTTTTCTCTTCTTGTATAGCAAAAGAAAAATCATTTATAATTAGATGAAATATATAGATTTATTAATTTAGACTTGCTTCTTTTATTCTTTTTAATCAGTATTTGATAAATGAATGTCATAGATTTAGATCTCATTTTATTGTGATAAAATTATACACTTAACCATTTTAAAGCTTGAGGAAAGAAAAATAAAGAAAAAAAATAAGTGAATTTCATAAAATACTCAAAACCATTTTCATTACCTTCGAAAACAAAATATATTAATTGACAACATCATACATAATTATGTGTAGGTACTAAGATCATTCGGAATGATTACGAACAGTAACTTTTATGTTCTATATAGAGAACTATGGATTTTATCTGTTAATGCATTTAGTGTACATATACTTTTGACTACTTAATATTCACGATGTATCTTGATTTTAGGGATCACTGAAAATACTTGGATTACACGTACATGTGTGAATAATCATTGTCTACGATGTATCGTGTATATTTCAATTAACATAGAACTAGAAGACATTAGAATTTAATACCGTTATAAATATTACGAGAAGAAAGTATAAGAATTACATAAGGGAAAAAGTATTTCTTTTATTAATTGATCTGAAGGGCGCACCTTATTAAAAAAAAAAAGTCATTTTACTGAAGAAAATTAGTTTCAATGCAGATCAAATGATTATTGTTAAAAATGAATCAATTTCAGCATGTGTCTCGAAGTATTTTAAACTCAATCCATAGAGTTGGTGTAACAACGCTATGAAATTCTTATTAACCCTTTTCTTTTATTATTTTTCACAATATATCATATTTAATCGGCC